TGTTAAAGATAAACTGTCCTCGGGTCCCCTACTGATGTACAATATAAGGGACCTCTGGTCCCCCTACTTATGTACAATATAAGGTGACCTCTGGTCCCCCTGCTGGTGCACAAAATAAGGTGACATCTAGTCCCCATAATGATGTACAATATAAGGTGATCTCTGGTCCCCTAATGATGTACAATATAAGTTTACCTCTACCCCCTACTGATGTACAGTACAATATAAGGTGACCTCGGGTCCCCCTACTAATGTACAATTTAAAGTGCTGGTATAGACTGAGTTTTTAAATTTAATAAAGAGCAGCAAGAATTATATTAGATGCGGCACTAGATGCTCCATCACAACCATTATTTGCGAAACTTGGTTGGCTGTATATTTGAATTGATAGATTTCCACAAATACACACGGCTTTATAAAACACTTCATGGTATGACACCTGATTATCTGAGACTTGTTTGAATTTATTTCCTCCAATAATTATATTTTACGTTCCGAATCTAATTATTACCTTAGTCTATCAAAATATCGAACAAATATGTTAAAAATTCTTTTCAATATTCAGGCGTTCATTTATGTAACAAATTACGTGTAAATGTACGTTTTTCTCAACTGTACAATCCTTTCTTAAAAATGTAGAAAAATAATCATCAATGGACGCAACATCTCTTTTTAAAATTTGTAACTTGTTTCGATGTTTTGATAATATATACTCTCTTTCTTTCAAATGTGTCGCGTATGTAATATACTTGTATTTTTTCGTATCGTTGCACTGTTGTATTCAGAATTGCACTATCCATGTATAGAGGGCCCCGAGGAAGACTAGTGCTTTAAACGAAGTATCATTATTATTAAGTCTTCCGTTCACAACGGAAGACTTATAGTGTTTGTATTGTTTCTTTTTATTATTATTATTATTATTATTATTATTATTCCTCCCAAATTTTGTGAGCGCGATTACTCAGAGATGGCTGGATAGATTTTCACAATTTTTCTCATGTAAGTAGGTTGATATATGAAGTTTATATAAAATTCCGTTTTTCGAAAAATTCACTTCCGGTCCGAAGCTATGGCCGATTTTCGAATTTTTAAATGGACTTTTGTCCGGCAGTTTTCTCGGAAACGGTTTGAGGTAAAGACATGAAATTTACAGGAGTATTAGATCATGATATTCTATTTGTTTTGAAGTTGTTTTCGTGTGTTTCCAGTACTTCCTGTCCGAACCGGAAGTGAAATTGTTTTTGGTCAATTTTTGATTTTTTTGTTTTTAGATATTTTTTCAAGACATTCTTATGTAAAACAGACATTTTTCTACAAATACTAAATATATAATTTGTTTTTAAATCAAATTCCGCATTTTGTATATTTTCGGTACCGAAAGTTTCTCTATTTACGTAGTGTGTATAAGGTGGGCAAAGAAAGATAACTCTGACCTGTGAATGAGAATAGAACTTTCGAGATAAGACGGAAATAGTATTGATGACGTTAGAGACATATATACGCTCTCCAGATCAACATATTTACACATTCAATATTCTCTCTTTTGCATGTTACTTAATTCACTATATGCATATTAGTTTAAATTTGGCTGTGTAGTGTTAGTCTGTATATTGAAAGTTTTTGATTTACAAATTTATATCTAAGAAAAAATATCCGTTCTGTGTCAACTAAGCACTTTGAAGAAAATAATATTGTACGCAGTATACATTACAGCGATGTATATACAAATTATTCTACAAAAATACTAAACATATTATTTATTCAATCGGATTCTGCATTTTGGAGATTTAAGGCTCCGTCAATAAATTCATTTTCTCTATTTACGTAGTGACAATGAGCAAAGATAGATAACTCTGACTTGTAAGTGGGAATAGAACTTTCGAGATAAAGGCGGAGGTAGTATCCATGACGACGCAGACGTCTATATCCACACTTTTCACATAAAAAAAATAATTAGACTTTGAGTTTCCATATCCACTTCTGCATGAAAGATTACGTTGGTTACTGCTTTCAGTATATGCATAGTTTAAAGTTGTCAGCGTAGTGTAAATCTGTAATGTCTGTTATGATTATATTAAAAAAAATATTCTTAAATTCATTCTCTAATTTGAATGCGAAATTATCCCGGAATCCGAGTTTTATTTTCGATTCTAAAATATTATACGTACTCAAAAGGGAACTGAGAGATAGAAGAGAAGGTGTAAAGTCTTTAGAAATAAATTGATATCTGCAACTTAGAAGAAAGAAAATCAATCTATATATTGGATTTGGTTTTATCACGTATATTTCATTGATTAAAAGTCTTGGTGTTATTTATTATACATGATCTATACTTTTATATACCCGAGAAGTTATTAAAGATGAGAAAAAGCGATTCTTGGATTTTTGTGAAATACTAGTACTCAAAGGGTTAACATTATGTGAAAGTTACGCGTTTCTGTGTGAAATAATGCTACGCTAAAACATGATACAAAAACATCTGCAAATGTCTGTTGATATGTTAGATAAAGTATACGAATGAACACAATTTTATGCAATGCTATATAATTATATGTATGTAAATGCAACCTTAAGTATTTTCCTTTTAATTCATAAAACATAAAATTACCGAGTATGTAATTCTTTTGAAGCCCCCCCCCCCTCTTGATTTTATTCGGAGACATTATTGCAACTATAGGCCTTTGAATTATAAATTCGTTATACAATTAAATCTGGAACATTTGGTTATAATTACCATTAGCATGTATACAGAATTCATATTCTATAATAGTAGATTTTTCATTATGCAAGATACTGAAATTTACATGTCTGAGAGAGAGAGAGAGAGAGAGAGAGAGAGAGAGAGAGAGAGAGAGATTTTCCCTTTTAATCCTGATTATCCTATCCATTTTCATAGACAAAAAATCAGTTCTATATCAGTTGTACTCATTCTTTATTAAATATTTTCTGATTTCATAGTTCGTCATAGTCACTCTCTGTATATTTTTTCTGCTTAAGAAGTATTACACTAAGTGCACATGTATTGACCTGTCAATCAAAATCACCGGACGCTGTATGCATTGCAATAAAGTTGTTCGAAATGATTTTTATTAAGTATGATCTTTACGAAAATCTGATGCAACAAATTTGAGAAATGAAAAATAAAATAAAAACATGGCTAGAGCATCATATATCTGTATTATGGACTTCAGTTGTGGGACGTGGAGACCGGTCCGTCAGATGAGATCGTTTAAATCGAGGTCCCGTGTGTCAGATGGTACTGACTCAAAAAGATTCCTCACTGCTCAATGGCGATTAGATCCAAATTATAGGACAACATTTTGCAGTCTCCACCGGCGAGTGGAGGCTTCTCCATGTGAAAAATTCTCGAGAGGGACATTAAACAACATATAATCAATTAATCGATTGCTGAATAATTCCTGTAGTTGAATAATCTTTCTGCTGACAAATCTCGATAGTATTACTGTAAAAATCAACGACTTTACGTTTAATGTGGTACTAACATAGTTCATGACATTTTTATAACACCATCACAATTGTGCCAGAACATAAACACAGTGAAGTTTATGAGTACGGTGTTCGTTCGTCCGTTGGTTTGTGTATGATACACGTGTAGCTCTTATGAGTACCAAAATGCATAAGAACAAGATTGGTCATGAAAATCAAAGTACCTTAAGTACTGAAAGACCTTTTTGCATTTTTTTTTCTTTCAGAGTACATATGATATCTATGTTTTTTGCAGAGAAAAAAGCAAATTCTTACAGATTTAGAAGAACGGAAGACTTATTTGTTGCCATGGCAACAAAATTCTAGTTATTATTATTATTGTGACCTCTGGTCCCCCTACTGATGTACAATATAAGATTTCTTCTGGTTCACCTTATGATGTACAAAATAAGGTGCCCTCTGGTCCCCCTAATGACGTACAATATAAGGTTACCTCTGGTCCCCCTACTGATGTACGAAATAAGGTGATCAGAGGTCCCCCATTGATGTACAGTACAATGTAAGATGACCTCTGCCCCCCCTCCTCTACTGGTGTAAATATAAGGAGTCCTCTGGTCCCCCTACTGATGTACAATATAAGTGTCCTCTGGTCTCCTTATTGATGTACAATATAAGTGTCCTCTGGTCTCCTTATTGATGTACAATATAAGTGTCCTCTGGTCTCCTTATTGATGTATAATATATGCATGGTGACCTCAGGCCCCTAATGATGTGCAATAAAAGGTTACCTATGGTCCCCTATTATTTTAAAATGTATATAATTTAATTCTGGTTGTAACGCTGTATTTGATTGGATAACAAATTATTTTATATTGAATAAAATGGGTTGCCTACGTCACAATGACTTGTGTCAAAAACGTATCAATCCGCCTGACGTTACATTCAAATTTTCTACAAACTGAAGTCATTTTGTTAGAACAATAATCTTTTTTCTTACATCAAATGAATGAAAATTAAATTATAAGCAATGAATTTAATAGCTACCCATTTTATACGGTATAAACTGGGTTGGAACAGTTTACGCTTTTTTATAAACAGCTTCGCGGTTTATAAAGCGTAAACTGCCCCAACCCAGTTTATACCGTATAAAATGGGTAGCTATTAAATTCATTCCTTAATTAAAATGTACGGTGACCTATGATCCCTCTAATGATGTACAATATAAGGTGACATCTGGTCCCCCTATTTACTTTCCCGTTTCTGTTTATATATTTATCAGGAAGTGTATCTGTATAAAGTTATAATATCGATTAAACAGAGGTAGAAAATAAGTACGGGCTTCAAATTTTTCTCGTCTTTGAACTCTTGTTAATCAATTAATCTATAGATTGAGTGACACCAGAAATTGATTGACATATTTATTTTGCAGTAGATATGGATACCTAGATAGGTGATCCTACTGTCCAATAACATTAAGTAAACACTCTGATATGTACAATTGTGAAAAAGGATTTCAATATTTATAAAGAAAAATATACATAATATATATTCAGATGGCCCGGCATCAGTAATATTTTCCCCAGACATCATAATCATCAATAAAACAGAAAACCAAACAGTGACTCCAGTTTATTGTTCCGCTGTCTGTAACCCTAACTGTACATACCTGTGGACAGGTGTGACGACTGTGAAATCGGGAGTTCTAGACGTAAAAGTACTGAAGCGGACAATGAGGGGGGATTACACATGTACAGCTAGCAACACCATCAGGTCAACTTCAAGAACCATCAGTGTTTATATCAACTGTATGTATAAAGATTTCTTTGTAGCTTACATATGGAACGCCATCACTGCCTTATAGCATAAAACTATGCATTCATTATGTCAATCTATCATAACGTGATGTGAACATATCTTTACGTTATGTCAATTTTTTATGGGGTGATGTAAAAATATCTTTACATCATGTCAATGCTGCATTACATGAAGTAAACACATTCTTCCATTATATCAGCACTTTATAACTTGAAGTCGGAAGTTCATTATGTGAAGTGAAAATATGTTTACATTGTGTTAAAACTTTATTACGTGAAATGAATGTTTCTTTATATTATTTCATTATTTTAATATGTGAGGTCAAAATTGCATCACGTCAAGTAAATTGTGTTTTATAATTAAACTTATCATTACATGAAGTCAAAAGTCCATTCCTTTTTGAGAGTGTATATGTCTATTATGTCAAAGCATTATTACGTGATATGGATTTATCTTTATATTACGGCGAGAGCATCATGATGTGAGGAGAACACATCTTACCTTTATGTCAGTGCTTTATTACGTGGTATAAAAAGTGTATAACATAATGTGAACATATCTTTATATTATATCAACACTTTATTACATTATGTCAAAACTCCATTCCGTGATGTGGATATATAATTACGTTATGTCAACTCTTATGTGATTTAAAAAATATCTTTATATTGTGTTAACTCTTTATCATGTTGATTCCAAAAGTTCATTACCTGATGTGAAAATACATTTACATTATCTGAAAGCTGTATATCTAGTATAATAATGAATGTTGACGACTGTATTTTAATGACTGGTAAGAGGGGGGGGGGGGGGGGATTGAGTAGGACAAATAATTATAGACACATAATATCAGCCCCCCTCTTTTCCCAGACATAACCTTATTTTAGAAAATGTAATGTTCATTGAAAGTACAGCCCCCACCCCCACTTATTGTTGAAGTATAGTCCACTAGGGGTAATGTAGTATAACTGAAAAAAATATATGACTAATCAAAGTCGGACCCCCCTCTCCGAAATAGGATTTTCGGGCTTGGACAAATTTTTTTGGCTTGTCAAGTTTTTTCGGGTAAATAATTTTTTTTTTCTGGCTGACATCCTCTTTCAAATAAATGCTATGTCACGGAATTAGTTACTGTAATTTTTTCAACCATTCCAAGACCAGAATTCTGTTATAAAAATCTACCAGTCCCTCATCTAAATCAGTTGAATATGCCTTAATAAGCATGCATGGGCACATATTTGTGGCGCATATGGGTATCTTGAAAAAAGAAGGGGGACGGTATAGAGTTGGTGACCAAAGGGGGAAAGCAGAAAAACTCTCCGGCAGGCTTTATAGTTTAATAGAAAAAAATTTTCAATATAATTCAGCTAAACTTAATGTGAAAGTAATGCAATGTCCTACAATGTAAAACTAATAAATTTATTAATTTTATGTATATTTTGGTGACTAAAGATGGTAGGGCGGGATTTCTGACCCCCCCCCCCTTCCCCAAGCCGCCAGTGCACGCGTGTTATTCGATCGATGTGTTTACACTTTAAAAAGGGAGAGTTAAAGACTGATAAAAAAAAACTTATGACAGTGTTCTGAGTAAGATCAGAAGTTTAAGATTTTTATTAAAAAAAAAAAGCAATTCAAAAGAAAAAAAATGCTGCACGACTCATATTTGATTTATTTAATTATCAGATAAAAGTAAACGCCATTGAATTTCGACGCGTGACTTTAATTCACAGTCGCAGTGTTAAGGCTTTGCACATTTCAAGGTTGTTAATCATTTTTCGCTTAAAGTTTTTATATGATTTAATCGCTGAGAATTTATTTTATGACAGTTTTCTCTCCCGCCATTTTTAGTGCTTTCGGAATGCGGAAAATACGTTATGCTCATATAAAGGCCGAGGATACCCGTGTTCGCATAACGTAATAGTGAATCGACATAATGTAGAAGAGTGCGCACAGTATGACATGAGCTTTCCACATCTGATATGAGATGATAGCCTAAGATACATGTATGCTGACAAGAGGCTTAGCATTTTTGACAAACTGTAAAGACACAATGACATAATGTAATAACGATTTGTCAAAAAGTAAGGGAAAATTCACATCATGAAATTGATTCACGTCGTCATGTAGCATATTGAAGGCATAAAGTAGTAAAAGAATTGACCACATGTGACAATTTTTTCAGATCATGTAATGAAATTCTGACATCGTATTATAGCGACTTCATATTGAGTTAAAGATAAATTCACATCATGTAATGAACTACTTAGACCAAATAGTAGAGAGTGCACATAATGTAATAATGAGTTGAAAATATATAAAAACATTTTTACACCACGTAAAATTGTTTTGACTTGATGTCATAAAGAGCTGATATAATGCAGTGGAAGATTGGCGCAATGTAATTAAAGTGCGAGTTAATGCCATAAAGACTAAACATAATGTAATTGAAAGTTGACATAACGCAATAGTAGTGTGTGTAATTGTCATAAAGAGTTGACATAATGTAATGAAAGGTTGACACAATGCAATAGTAGTGTGGACTAATGTCATAAAGAGTTGACATAATATAATGGAAGGTTGACATAATGCAATAGCATTGTGGGTTAATGTCATAAAGAGTTGACATAATGTAATGGAAGGTTGACATAATGCAATAGCATTGTGGGTTAATGTCATAAAGAGTTGACATAATGTAATGTAAGGTTGACACAATGCAATAGTAGTGTGAGTAAATGTCATAAAGTGTTGACATAATGTAATGGAAGGTTGACGCAATGCAACTGTTGTGTTCTGTTATAAGGCAGTGACGGCGTTCCATACTTACAGATGTAAATCATTGATCTTGGATATTTGACCCTAACAAAATAAATTTGTAGATCCTCCAACAACAGAGGTATTCCAAGCCAGTGGTAACAAGATTTATGAAGAATCCTCACCATTCAATATCACTTGTGAAGTTGACAGCTATCCTTTTTCTGACATAAACATTCTGAACATAGATACAGGAGAAGTAAAGGCATCAGGTGGACCTTTAGAATCCCTGACATACAGCGAGTCGTCTGCTAAGTGTTATCACGCTGCAAGTTATACCTGTAACAGTAAAAACTCCTATGGATCTACTTCTTCAGCTGTACAACGAATATTCATCTTCTGTAAGTCTTCTTATATTTGTCAGATTCCTCTAGACATGTGTCATGTTTTTGAAATTCAATCATTTCTTTAATCGGAATACCAGATTTTGAACAGAAAGATAAAGATAATAAAAAATATGCCCATTGTATATCTTTGACGAAGATGGAATATTGCTAAAATATCTTATATACTTATATCTAGCAAATTTTCCATTCATTTGGAGACGCCGTTATTTGCATGTGCTGTACACCAATACAGACGCTTGAGAAGTGGGAGGGTGTATAGTCTGCCGTCCGTCCGGCTTTCCGTCCATTAATCCGTCCATCCATTTGTTACGCTTTTGGGAATCCATCTCTTATCGACAACTCCTCTTATACCACTGAATAAAAAAGAGACTTTCATAGAATATTACAAAGTGCCAATGTCCACCCTCTTTTCTACTTTTTGGTCTGACACATATTATATTTCAGGATTCCCGTAGCAAAACATTGACACTACCATATTGAGGGATACTCTTCTCTAGTCTGCATCTCTTACTAGTCCTTACTTTTTAACAAAATGGAGAGCTACTTTTTTTTCAAAAAAATGGGACACATTTTACTTATCTTGTAATTGTCATTTGCAACATTTCGTAAAACAAATTCTGATTTTACAAAAGATTTGCAAAGTTGATATTAAACAATGCAATAGTTTCTTTTTGACAATGTCTTGGAGACAAAATCATCCAACCAGCCGATTGGTACCTTTTGTGATCCGTAATTAGCAGACCATCTTTTCTATTTGCTGGGTCGATTACAGTGTAATTCTTAATAGGAAAACACTTTGGCATTGGAGGGCTCAACCTTTATCTATACTATGCTTCACATCGGTAATGGTTTATATAATATTATCAGCGACATATAATCAATTACCAAATGGTTACTTCCATTCACAAATTCACTCGATTCATCGCAGAGAGTTTGAAATAAAAGACACCACAGAGTCTGGCACATCTGTTTCATATTTGGATACTTACTTGAAAAAAGACATTATCATGACAACAAAGCTTTATGATGACTTAAACTTTTCAATCGTCAGCTTTTTTTACTTATAAAAATATATATTACGTAGCTTAGTTTGGTAATTCCATACATATCGCATGACTTAGTAGCGGATAATTTATTTTGAGAGATAGTTTTTATTCATATAGTTTCATAGACGAAAAACAAAGATTTGCCATCTACATGTAGATTTTCATCTAATCTCACCCTAATAAATAAATGCCTAAAAACCTATCTGTTTCATTAAGATTTGCACTGTCCCTAGCTGGGTCCGCCAGCTCTTGAATTTTTTCATAAAACATGTAAATAATATGAACAAAAGATCACCATGATTTGCATTGGTCTCAGCATAGAGATAAATATTATTTGATCCCTAAAAGAATAAAGATCACTTTATTTTTCTTTATTCTATTTTATGTATTACAAATATCTTTGTCTTCCTCTCCATGTTATTCTCTCTCTCTCTCTCTCTCTCTCTCTCTCTCTCTCTCTCTCTCTCTCTCTGCATTTTAACAGTGTTTATTAAGAGCAAACGTACATGAATTAGTGATATATAAAGTTGCTTATCATTTCTATTTCATTTAGGTAGACCAAGACCCTTTGATGGACAGTCAAATATCAATACCGGAATAAAGACAAATGAAGGACTCAATATATCAGCCACGTTCATAGCGTACCCTCCCCCGGTGTTATCATGGAAATTTAGAAAAAGTTTAACTGATGTAAATAAAACACTGTCTAGTGAATTCCAGATATCTTCAGTAACTTTGAATGTTTCAACAGTCCAGACAGTTTTAACCAAAGAGACGCTAAACCAAGAAGAGTTTGGATACTACACATGCAGTCACAGCGACTAACACTGCAAAACCCTCTCAAATTTCCATCATCACTTACCATGTCATTCCAGAGAGTAAGTTTACATATTACAGTACTTGATCCATTTATATAAATTTAAAACTTGCACAAAAAGCCAAAAAAGGTCGTTATAAAGATATATCAATCTATATTTTCATAATGAAAAGAAAGTGTGCACTTGCTGTTGCCTTCAACTCACCATTTAGATATATCAACGACGTATTTTCAATTAACAGTCCACCCGATATATCCCAGTGAGCAATAAAATAAAAGATGCCAGTAGGTCTGATACATCTCTGCCTTATTTTTCTGTGTAATTTAACCATACACAGAGACATAAGCGAAGCCATGGACATCGGTTTTACAATAAATCTTTAATACACAATGTCTCTTGATTAATTACTAGTTTACCACCTAGTGTAAATCAACAGTTCGGTCTACATCATATATATACTCGCACCAAATTTTACTCTGTCCCTTTGAAACTTTTAAGTCGTCTTCTTGAAAAGGAAAAGGAACGCCCTTTTTGATTCCTCGACACCAATCTAGGCTCAGAACTGTAATTGTGGATATTGCAAATCATAGGCGTTTTAACCTCCACGTTTTAGTGTAGAAAAAGCAGGTAAGTCATGACACGGTTAATTTAAACTATTATTTATCACGAAAGGGCCCATTCTTGTATTCCACCATATTTCAAGTTAAAACTTTACCTTGCATTTCCTACAAATATACATTCACTATTGCTTCCAAACTTTTTGATTACAAAAAACACTTTACATGGCCTGGATATCGAGTATCTGAAACAAAATCCTCCTTCGTGTTCATATTCTTCTTCACCTTATAACAATAGCCCTACTGGACACGTTATTACAGGTCTGACGTAAATATTGTCAAAAATGAGGACTTTAGATAGCTTATTTTAAAAGATCCAAAATATAGGGAACCCTGATCCTGCAACTGGCATCAGAATTTCATAAATATTATGGATCCTGTTGAAGATAATGCCAGGCAATGGGCCAGACACAAACATGAAGACTTTGATACTTTTTCAGAGTGAATTAAATGTATCAGATGCATATTAAAATTGCGTATTAAAAGTTTGAGGGGCAACATGAAAACCAATAATCCAGATCGAAGTAAAAAAAGAAAAGAGTAAGATATACTGCATGAACAATTTGTATTGGTCCCTATTGACAAAGCAGATGATAACATTAATTGTCTTCGTTTATAATGTTCATTATATAAATTGTATTTTAAAAGAACCTGGATTTAATTGTGCATAGACACAGATCTAGATTTGAAGTTAATATACTGAAAGGAAAAAGAAACGCAGGGTAAACGTTTGAGGTGAATTTAATTTATTTTTCTTTTAATTCTTTTCAGTTTTCCTATCTAACTTTTAAAATCATCTTTCAAAAAGATATAACCAAAATCCCATTTGATTTTGTCTAATAATTCATGAGTTATTGAAGCTCATATCAAGATACCCCCCAAAAGTGAAAATCAAAAACTCGCTTTATCTTCAAAGTCTCTCCCGCGCATCTGCCAGGGCTTTATTTCTCCTTTGCATGGAATTCATCAGAGTGTTTATCTTTCAAACCCTGGCTTTATTGGGCATAGGTAATGACGCCAAAAAATTAGTCAAACGGCGCGCGCATGCGCCAGTGAGAGGAACACTACAGTAAATTGACCGGTGTAACCGTGAATTCTGTCGCTAGTGCTCAGTGTCGCTCTTAATAGAATATATAGAGAAAAAAAGCGACTCAAATCACTGGCTTCTGCGCATGCCTGGGGATTTTAGTCGCTTCAAATCAAAGCGGTGTTCAACTGATTTTAATTCCACGGTAATAGTATCCGAGGTCATAGATTCTTATGTTTTCTTTATTTATTTTAACCTTAAAAGACAAATAAAATTTAAAAACTTTTATTGTTTTTTTTTTACTTCGTATAGAATTATTAAATGATCTTTTAAACTTCTATATTACAGAGAATAAACGGCTACACATTTAATCGGTAAATTGAACGGATACTTGTATTTACAAAAGGAGAAAAAAACATGCTACAGTCCCTCAGTTCATTCTTAATAGGTGTGAACCCCGCCGTAATTATACAGTGAAAGACACTGGTTTCAGTTGAAATAAATAAATTGGATATAATTCAATTATTCTAGAGGGATAAAGATCGTAGAAAATAATTATTTTGAATTAGTTACGAGCATCAGTGATGTGTCGCTCTTCAAAATGGCAGTTTCTTATTTTCTCAGGCCTGACTTATTGATCTTCTCTAAAACAATTATACAGTAAAATTGCACGCCGGTTTCAGTTGATAAAATGATTTAGACATAATTTCATAATTCTAGAGGAAAAAATCGTAGAAAATAATTTTGAAATACTTACAAGCGTCAGTGATAAGTGTCGCTCTTCAAAATGGCAGTTTCTTATTTTCTCAGACCTGACTCATTAATCTTCTCAAAAACAATTATACAGTAAAATTTCACGCCGGTTTCAGTTGATAAGGATGATTTAGGTACAATTTAATATATCTCGAGGTGGCATTTCAGATTCGTTTTCCGGCAAAATGCGTCTGTCTGCAGGAACCTCTAACATTAAATGAAAGTGAAAGTAGGGGAATTTCAGACTTGTCACTGGCGTTTGATAATAATACACAAAATAATTCAGCTGATTTTCTTAATAAATTACATATTTGCCAAGTTTTTTGGTAGGAAAGGTACTCCTTATCAACAAGTGTGAGGCTCAGTTAGTACATCTGCACAATTTCTTTATGCGAGTCTGCAAATTAAGGACCGTGTAATTTTTTCTGCACTACTTTCTTCTCCTACCGATTCTAAAAATAATTAGTGGGAAGTACCCAATATATCGGTATACCTACGCATTATACAGGTGAACTAGTGATACTTTGTCATATCAATTTTTTCCAAAGTCCCATTAATATTTATTTATTTATCGAGTTGCATTCCTGATATCTTTCCAAATTGATCGATTATTTTTATTGCATATGATATAAATTTAATACTAGTACCTTGTAAAAGGAGCGATGTATCGTCTGCAGCTGTTGTAGGATTTTTATTCTCTAAGCACAAGTTCTTTAGTAAAGCTTTATAATTCTGGTGAATTGTGTATCTTTGTGGACATTGTTTCCACTATAAATAAAAGGAGCAGTATTGAGACTGGACATCCTTGTGTCATTTTGCATTTCTGCCCGCCTGTTATGGCCGGTACACACGGTAAGGCTTGTTTTATAATTCTATAATGTTTCGCAGGACGTACGGCTCTCATGTCCACACGCTAAGGCAAGACTTACAATATTATAAACAACATTTACATAAATTCCATGTGTTTTTAGCCAAAAACATTCTGCTATATTACATGTATACTGACACGCAAAAGAAACGCAACACCCTACTTTAGGGGAAAATAATTATGTAAGGTAAAGAATTTTGTATCTTATAATTATGGATATCTTCAATTTGGTAAACATCGGTAATTTAACGGTCGAACGATTTTCATACCATAACCGGAAGTCAAGTATGAGGAGTCTGCTTAACAGAAATCAAAAATTGCATGTTTAACAAAACATTTGGCAATATCATGGAGTTTTACTGTTCATCATAAGTACTGCAGCAATATTTCAAAAAATAAACTCTCCTTTCGTTTCCCGTAACGATGCTAAGGCTTCTTGAAAATGGCTTAAGTACGCATTTCCATTGCTCTAGCTGGAAAATTTCAATGAAAAGGTGAAGGAGAGTTGCTGATGAAAAAATTCACTATATAACCCCTCAACATGGTCTCACGTATCACATGCATTAAGGACAGTCCTTGTACCGAAAGTCCAAGGGTGGCTACACTGCTCTAAGTTAGAGAAAATTCGACCTAATCATCTGAAAAACGGACATTTAAAAATGGCAAAGAATAATTCCTTCGCTCAGATCTCGATATTGATGAATTTATTGTATCGTAGAAATTAAGCTGCAATTGTTGTTTAGGGCAGTCTTGCACGTTTTACTTGAATGGCTGGGAGGGGGGTGTTTTAACAGTCATATGTTACTTAGTAAAGTAAAAAGATAAACATTTAACATTATTTTCAAATCTCTGGTGTTCTGAAAAGTGAGTTTAGCCTTACTGTATTCATTTTTGAAAATCATAAGATGAAAAAATCAAACATTTGTAGATTACTGCTTGTTGCGTTTCTTTTGCGTTCCAGTATAAAAGGAATAATATATTACTAGCTAGGAATTTGAAATATTTTTTCCGACCATTGCATCCACACTTCTTAAGAAAGAAGAGAAGGTTAACTGAAGTATTTGCAGATAGTTTTATTATCTTACTCGAGTATATGCTTTGTGTTTTGTTCAATATACCAAACGAGTATGGTTTTATAAAAGTACTAGTAGATTGAAATTTGTGTAAATGGTTTTCATTGGTCAAAAAAAGCCAGCTTAGTCTTGCAGTGCTCTATTATGAATAGAGAAAGCAATGCTCTATTTACTAATACAAGTCTTAACTTACCTTTTACTTTCAACCAATGAAATGCAATGGCATTAGGGGACATCCTATTTTTATCATTACTAAAAAGCACATGGTAAATAATAATGGACGACTTTACAAGTAAAGACATTGAAAAACTCGTGGTTTTATGGGAAGGGAAATAGGACTTGTAGAATATATCAAGCATTGAAAAGTACGATGATAGACACTGCTATCAGAGCCTCATCCTCCATATTTATTATTTTGACAGAGAGAGAATTATGGCGGTGAAAACATAAGCGTGAGTACAAGAAAGTATTATATTTACAAAAGTATTATAATACTTGTATTATACAACAAATCTCATCGTGTATACTGGCCTTAAGGCTCCAAAAACGTGTATTAAGGGTGTACACACGGTAAGGTTAAGGCCGGTACACACGGTAGTCATGAAATTTAAGTTCTAGCCTTACCGTGTGTACACCCTGAATACACGTTTTTTCGAGCCTTACAAGTCTGACTTAAGAATAGAACACTGCTCTATTTCCTAATACAAGACTTAGCTGACTTTTAATTCTTGACCAATGAAAACCATTTACCCAAAGTTCACTCTATTTTCATAAAACCATACACGTTGGTATATTAAAGAAAACACAGAGTATATTCGAGTAAGATAATGAAAATATCTACAAAAACTTCAGTTAACCTCCTCCTCCTTGTTAAGAAGTTTGGATGCACTGGTCAGTAAAACTATTTCAAAGTCCTAGCTAGTAATCTATTATTTTGTTTAATAATGCGCACTGTTTATAGTTAAAAACGCATGGCATTTATGTAAATGCTGTTTATAGTATTGTAAGTCTTGCCTTAGCGTGTAGACTTGAGAGCCGTACGTCCTGCAAAATGTACGGTTTTAGACTTATAAGGCAAGCCTTACCGTGTGTACCGGCCCTTAGAACTTAAGTTTCATGACTTATAAGGCAAACATTACCGTGTGTACCAGCCCTAACACTTTTTTTGAACTTCTGCTGACATTTTACATAGCAATTCCCTATACATGTACGAACTGAAGAGTTCTTTTATATAAATATGATGCATTCCAGTAAATTGCGTTATTTTATTTTGAATCTGTTTTCATCTAAAAATTGACGCTTTCTAAATATGCTGCATCTGAATGTTGCACACTAGAACCATAAGAAGGAAAATGGGCGACCGGTGAAGCAGGTGTGCAGCAGTCTACAATTGCAAGAGGATTTGATGTTACGCACAGCACCATATCTAACCTATAAAACATAAATCATAAACTCCACCTTGATTGTGAACAACCCCTGACTGTAGACTCCACCTTGACTATGAACTACCACCTGGCTGTAGACTTCACCTTGACTGTGAACTACCCCTGACTGTTAACTCCACCTTAACTATTAACTACCACCTGACTGTAGACTCCACCTTGACTGTGAACGACTACTGACTGTAGATTCCACTTTGACTATGAACTACCACCAGGCTGTAAACTCCACCTTGACTATGAACGACCACCTGACTGTAGACTCCACCTTGACTGTAAACTACCCCTGACTGTAGACTTCTTCTTGACTATGAACTTCCCCCAAACTGTAGACTCCACCATGCCTATGAACAACCCCCTGACTGTAGACTCCACCTTGACTGTGAATTACCCCTGACTGTAGACTCCACCTTGCCTCTGAACAACCCCCTAACTGTAGACTCCCCCTTTGCCTATGAACTACCCCCTGATCGTAGACTCCACCTTGACTGTGAACTACATCTGACTGTAGACTCCACCTTGACTATGAATACCCCTGACTGTGGACTCCACCTTGACTATGAACAACCCCTAAAACTTTACACTTCCCTCGATCGTTAACTACCCCTTGACTGTGAACTACCCACTGACTGTACATCCATCTTGACTGTGATCTACCCATTGACTGTGAACTACCCCCTGACTATAGACTCCATCTTGACTGTGAATTACCCCTGACTGCAGACTCTACCTTGACTATGAAGTACCCCCTGACTGTGAGGGGTCTTTTTCGTGCCAACACCTATAGACTCCACCTTGCCTCTGAACTACCCTCTTACTCTAGATTCCCATTTCCTATGAACTACCCCCTGACTGTACATTCCCCCTTGCCTATACTCAGCAATTTAGAATATCCATTAACTGAAAAATAAAACTTAAAATGTTGCCCAAAAGCAAGAAAAATGGTATCACTAGGATCATCAAAATAATTGGTTTAGTATCTGTCTGTTCCCAGTTTATCATGAAACTATTAACAATAAAATATCTTTTACATGTATTTCATATTCTATTCATACCTCTCACACTGGCCTATCTTGGCCTTTGAAGAAAATTAAAAAGGTATTTTTTTCTCTGGGGATCCGGGTTAGAATAGGTCCTCACTACTCCCTTGCTTGTCGTAAAAGGCGACTAAATGGGGCGGTCCTTCGGATGAGACCGTATAAACCGAGGCCCCGTATCACAGCAGGTGTGGCACGATAAAGATCCCTCCCTGCTCAAAGGCCGTAAGTGCCGAGCATAGGCCTAAATTTGCAGCCCTTCACCGGCAATGGTGACGTCTCTTTATCAGTGAAATATTCTGGAGAGGGACGTTAAACAGTATATAATCAATCAATCTCTTTTTTATTCATCTATTATATATAAGTCAACCTATCATTAAAACTATGAAAGTTCTTTTTGTGTAATAAAAAATGTTCTGATACAGTTCTCTTATTCTATAAACCTTTCAAATACATGTATATTATTTTCCCCGCCTTTGCAAAAGCGGGGGGACATTAAATCTCATTCGTCTGTCCTTCTGTTAATCTGTAGTTCTATACATCACAAAAAACTTTAGATTTGGTCATGATAGTAAAATTCTCAGTCAACCTTGGTCTTTCAGTAAGGCGGGTATTATTGATGTTACCTAATTAGCGTCTAAAACTTACACAACTTTTCATTCACGGTTAAAATATAGATTTCAGCAAACATCAACAAGTTTAGAGATAATCCAATGATAGTGTGTTGTATGGCAAAGAGGTAGGGCTTAGTTACATTTGGTGACGTGCCATGCCCTGGAACTGCTAAGTGAGAGGCCTGCCAGTGATGAGCATGGGCTGGGGTGTTTAAACCAAAGACCTTTAAGAAGGGAGGAATGTGGCAGTCAGCCCAGTTCGATCGCCAGTGGCAGGATAGCTCAGTTGGTTTTTTGGGCGCCTGACCGGAGATTCTGGGGGGCACGGTTTGAATCCAAGTCTGGTCTGCATCGTTTTTCTCCTCTTCCATTCAAAGGGAAAAAATCCGAAGGGGACATATGATCATTAGAGAGAAATTTCTCCTACTCTCAGCATTATGCCCTAGCAATACTCATTTTCTTATATTTGTATTGTATTCACTTTTTTATAGAATAATGTTTAGCAAAAAAAATAATAAATGTTAGTACAGTGGGAAAGAAAGTATTTTAAGAGAAATTTTATTTGATCAAGCCATTCAATTGAATGTCAGGCTAAAATTTCTCGAATATCTTAAACAATTGTCAATCTGTCATTGAACACTTACAACATGTGTACAAACTAATGAATTATTTGGATTTTATAGTAATTTAAAATGGATTTCAAATTTGATTTAAGGTGGTAAAAAATAGATAGGTCAATTTTTCCCAAATTCAAATTTTCTTGTAAATTGATCTTTTGCTCTAGGATACAAAATCTCTTCTTTATACGATCTGAAAGAAATTCAAACACACATTTTGTCCACATAGCTTGAAATATGGCCTATTAGACACCTGTAAGAAAATTGTGAAATCAGACATTCAACTTTTTTCAACATTATCAATTAATTATTTGAAAACTTGCATGATGCTGTTTATAAAAACAACATTTGTAACACTGGTTCTTGAATTCAATAAGTTATAGTGATACTGGTAAATTTGAATAAGATATTATGGAAAAATAGAACATACATAGTGTCAGAATTGAAAATAATTCACGAGTAACTATGCTACACATAAAGTTATCTCATGAGAAATTGTATAATCAATTTTTACAAAAAATCAACAGAATGAATCCAATGGGTCCCAGAATAAATTATGTCAAAATAAGGATAATTGAACTGGTAGTTTCAGATATTTCATCACAATATTTTATTTTTCACTTTTATAATTATCTTAACCTCTTGATATATGACCTTGATCTTTACAGTACATTAAACATCTAATATATTTGTCATAATATCAGCCCTCTAGTATATATGGAACATAAGTTACACTGCATTTCGTAACAGATTTACAAATGCATGTACTGCATTTAAACAGCATTAAGTCATTCCAAAATGTAAGCTACCAAGTGACCAATATATAGAAATCTCTGATTTTTCCCCCATAAAATATGATGTCAATTTTTGCTTAAGTAGCAGCATAAAATATCTACCAAATTAAGCAATTTTGTCTTCAAATACTGGGCAAGTTCCTTTAACTGAGAGTTGTCTTACAAGTAGCTTGTCTAGCATTGTAGTGCGTATGCAATATGATTCTTTTTTCACTGTACTATCTGGTTTCATCTTTTTGTATCTTTTTGTATGATATATAATTATTGTGTATGGACTCTAGACACTGATAGATGTCTCCAGTTTAAAATCTAAGTTTAATATCACTGTAATGAAAATGAACTGTCTATCCCATCCTTAACAATATTTCAATGACATTGCATCTTACTGAACGGCGCATCGATTTACCAGAATGGTGACCCGACTGGACTTCTGTAGACTTTCTATCAAAACTAAAATGCATCTATACATGTAAAATAGAATTATTTAATTTTGCATTTAGATACAAATGTATTTATATTGTTGAATATTCAGAATAATGGCTATTGAAATAAATTATGTTAAATGTGTTTTATGTTTATGACACACATTCAAATTATTGTACCAAAAAAACGTACATTATTCATTACATCTAAGCAAATTATTTCAAAATATATAAGTTTACCAATCCGAAAATTTCACAAAGTTATATTCTTTTTGAGTAAATCAGGCACGTAGGCTTGCTCCCCCTACTATTTTCCAGACATAACTTTTTACAATTTGAAAATGTTCATTGAAAGGTCGGTTGCCCCCCCCCCCCCCCCCCCACTTTCAAAAGACAATGAAACATCACTATAAATAATTATTTTATTACTTATTATAAATTAAGTCCATTTGGGTCTCCATTTAGGTCCATTTGGGTAAATCGACATATCTTACTGAATGTAACCTATCATGGATCATCATTGAACAAATGATGAACCAATGTGAACAGAACCTTAATTCTAACCAAAAACTACTTGTATGATGAAAACTGATTGAAAACTGCTCAATCTTAAATTTATAACAGAGAATATTAATACCTTAACATTCATAGAGACAATCCATATAAGTCTTTGTTTACAAGAAAAGGGAAAGACTTTTCAGCACTTTAAAACCACAACAAGAAACATATTTTGACGCAAGCGTCAAAAATCGGCCGCAAACCAATTAATTATTCCATTGATAAAGTAATTAGAAAATGAAATTTGCGTGACCTGTTTTTAAAATTTCTTATATCTAACGTTATCTATTTAAATATCCTCATGACATGAAACACTTGCATGCCACATTGCCGATTCTCTTCATGCATAATGCATAATGCATGTACAATATTATATTATATGTATAAGCAAACAGTCTATAGACCTCTGCGTCTCTGCACTCAGTTTGGTACATAAATTGTAAACGAACTGCTCTGGTGGAAGTTTCATGTTTAAGTAGTTTTTACATAAAAGTACAGAACTAAAATTTAAACTACATGTAAGCTTTAGTTTTACTTAAATAAAAACGCAACAAATATGAAATATGTGGCGCTCCTCGCTCTTTCTTAGAAGATATTGACTTCCCCCAACTCCCTCTAGATCCACCACTACATTTCTTTCCAAATATTTTCCCACTCCTTGGACTGTAAATTCTGAGTAAAGAAATGTGTGATTAACATTTCAAATTTCAATGTGATGCATACTTCATGTAAATGTACACTGCCTAAATGTATGACAATAAATCTAACTTACACTTATCTAATGTATATTTTTGTATTTTTTGAACACCTAGTTTTAAGGCTCAAGAGAGCTTTTCTGATCACATTTTGTCCGTCCGTCTAAACTTGTCACATTTTCAACTTCTTCTCAAGAACCTCCGATGCAATTTTAACCAAGCCTAGTACAAAGCTAGCCTCCTTGGGTGAAGGGGAGTTTATATTAGTAAAATGAAATGCCAAGTTCCCTCCGAATGGGAGATAATCAAGAAGAGACAAAAATAGGGTGTGGTCTTGAAAAAAATTTCTTTGTAAGAACCACTGGGCCAGAAAGTAAAAACTTATGTGGAAGCGATGTTTACTACCCATTCTTTTGATGAAACGCCATACTGTTTATAGTTTCTATGCCTCCCGGTGAGGGCGCTGCGAAAATCGGAAGATGATTTTTCATTCGGAACTAGAATGTTTGAAACAACAGAAAAACTCTAGAGGTCCCCCGAAAGAGTCAGCGGTCCCTCTCTTATACGTCTCTGTTTGAAGTAATACTCGTCGGAGGTGCAAGTGGCGAGACCATAATTTAACCTTATTTGTGTCTTGCATTACACGTATCGGCAAAACAAACGATAATTATTCTAATTTATCTTGTTAAAATACTGTCTTACTTACTTACTTACAATAGTCTGAATAGATCGGTTTTGATTGCGAGTTTACTTATCATAATTTGTTCTCTCAAGTTCAAACAGCTGATTAAGTTGGATGCTGATCTCGATGTTTAAAACATTAAACAGTTTAAGGTACGCTTCTGATGTCGCTTTGTTCTCAAAAATAGGTTTTTTTAGCCTATAAATAAATATCTTATTAAATTAGTCATATATTTCCCTTCTTCTTATGTAATTTATGAGAAGAAGATGCACATGAAAGCCCACATGCCGATCGCGATGCAACAGCGTCGAATGGCTAAACACTTATTTTTCAAGAATTTGCCGAAAATATTCATAAAACCAGAATTCTTTAACAGTCTTGGAACTTTAAAAGTTTCAATTTTACTTCATTTTAAACACAAATTGTGTCTATTTTAGGTCTAATCATACGAGTGCCGAATTGCAAGGCTACCGCTTTGGAATTCTATTTTTAGAGCGACTCTGAGCGACACTTATATCAGGACACTGAACCAGGAGCATACGGCAGGTGTGACTGGTCGGCAGGAAATGCTCATTCCTCCATGGAACATTATCCCATCTTTGATGTTTTGGAGGTCCTTGTTTGCTCTGCTTCTATTTTGTATTGTTTTATGGACTTTGATCTTGAATACTATTCAATATTTCCATATATGCTCATAAGTCCACAAAACAATATTATTGTTTGGTCTACTATAAACGCAGTTGGAATTCCAATAGGTTGTTGGTAAACCTGGTTTAAAAAAACAACATAGATATTGTCAATCAGAAACTCAATTTGCAAGAATCTTTTTTCTGTCACATTCAGAGTACCTGTGGTACAATCAGAATGTTTTAACAAAATAAGACTTGCAGATAACCAATGACAACTTAAGTAACTTCTTACTTCGCGACTTTGGAGAAGACGCTCTAACCACTGTGCCACGCGAGCGACGACATTGATATTGAATACTGTTCGTTATCTCCTTATCCTTCACGAATTATTCCCCCGATGAAATGTGAGAAAATAACTAGGGTTCAACCACAAAATCAATCTCCCCCGCTCCTTTTTTCCTCAAATCATAAATATTTTGAGCCAACGAAAATCAATGATTTTACAGTAATTTGATTTTTTAAATTGATAAACTGATTTATTATAAAGATGATTCTTAATATACGTGTATAAACCATTCTTCTTTTATAAGGAAAACCAAACCCTCCATACAATATATCCATTAATTGTGAAGTTTCTCGAGGAACTGCAATAGTAAACTGGACACCAGGTTTTGATGGAGGAGCAGAACAAACATTCATTGTGTCATACAGAACCAGTGATGGCGATCAACAATTAAGTGTAAAGTTCAGACAACCGAACGCTATAATTACTGGCTTGAAAGATGGTACTCTCTACTACTTCAAAGTTATTGCAATCAACACAAATGGTAAAACATTGTCTGAAGAAGAGGAGTCTTGCAAAACACAAGGTACTTGGTTAATTGTGGTACATGTACTTATTGTTCCTGAGTCAAAAACCTAGGCGAGCAAATAATTTGGAAACAAAAAAAAATGCTCAAGGATAACTAGCGATTTACGTTGTGTGAGTAAAATAAATCCGAAGAAGTCACATTTCAATATGAATTATAGTAATATACTGGTACTACAACTTTATATTTTTGAATGTTTTCAAATCTAAAATTAGCTTTTAAAAAGTGGTTAAGAACGTTTCTTTATACTATTCCGAAACATCCTATTCATCAGGCCGAAAAGGCCTGAGTAAACTAAAATGAATTGTAAATGATTTATTATTAATATATTATTAGCTGAATTTTATTTTTACTAAATTATTGTTTGAAGCTCGAAAAATCATAGTTTATATTTTAAGACAGATCCCTTGTGTAATTATTTTTACGAAGCAAGTATATCAACAGTCTCGTTTAAAGTTCTATGGTCTATACAATGAACTTGTCAGAAAATACATATTATCATTTAGTAAAATCCTGACTGACATTTTTCTTGCTAATTGTAAGTCCATTATTTATACACTGACTTGACGACGGATTTTTCCGACATATCCCGATCATGACAAGAAGAACATTGTGGGTGTGACCGGTCCACCCTTGGTAGGGAATGCTCACTCCTCAATGGCACCTGATCCCACCTCTGATGTTTCGGGGGTCCCTGTTTGCTCTGTTCTTATAATTTTTTTATTGTTTTATGGGCAATGGATCTTGAATAGTGTTTGTTATATCCATATGTTTCATAATCTCCTTTATCAACTTTACTCTTTGAGTTCAAAATGCGATATTTCTTAATTTTTGCCTGGAAGTCCGTAAGGTATGACCTTTTTCTGAATAAAATTATAATACTTTGATACGATGTGCTCTAGGTAATATTGTTTCCCAACCTATGTTAATTTGTCCGTGAAATCCTGACTTACGATTGGTTGAAGTCTGTCATGTGGAGGTGGATTACTTAAACCCGGTCTGTTGTAAATCTATACCCGGTGTATGTATTTTTTTTACGAACACAAATGTCATAATAGGCACAGTATAAGCGTGATGAAGCATGTAGCAGAGAAACACATTTTAAGGTAAACAACAAATAATACGTAAATGTTTCATCGTGGGGTAAATTCGTTACATAGTCTTTAAGTGACGGGGTATAAGATAATTCCTGGTTAGTAAATTTAATACCTGACTCCATCACGAAAACACGGAGTACAATCTATGGAATATGACAAGTATTTTAACTTATACTTACGGTATCAAGCGTTAAACACTAATAAAATGTATATTCTCTTTTCATAGAAGTCGTCATTATCAAAGAATCAAATATAGGAGGAATAATAGGTGGCACGTTGGGGGGTGTTGTATTGATAATACTTATCGTCTTGATATTTCTCAACAGAAAATATCAGATAAAATGTCATGGTAAGTATGTGTGTTCTTATGTATTTATTTTAATTCTCAATTGTCAAGGGGTTATAGAATTATTATAATTTTAATTTCAGAAAGAATGCCAAACTCAAGGTAAGAACATTTACTTTTTTTAAACAGATGTTTTCTACACTAAAAATACGCTTTAAGGAGTAATTCTTCTTATATTATTTCGAAATGCCTAATACTAACAAGAACTATTCAATAAAGGTTGATAATCAAAGCCTTTGAAATTTTCTAATGAAAAACACATTATTCTAGCTGATAGAATTTAAAGAACAACAAAAATTTACTGTATTGGCGGAACTGTCATGGCTTTTATTACAAATTACATTCACAGATAACATGCAACTGGCATGTTCATTCAAACATCAGCAACATGCAACTGGCATGTTCATAACCTATGCGCCGATCTTACAACTGGTAAGCATTTTGGCAGCATAGCATTCACAAATATCAAACAAACCATATCATAGCTGGGGGACCTGGAGATAACAGTATCACCCTCAGCAAATGGTTACTTGTCAAAATTGCGCTAACACGAAAAGATCAGGATTATCACATTCACAAAGCATAGTCCATAGCTTTCTTCATCAGCGTATAAGCCACGACGATTACTGAAAATGTCACATAACACTACAGTCAGGATTATCACATTCACACAGCAAATAGAAGTCCATAACTTTCTTCATCTGACAGTGTATAAGCCACGACGATTTCTGAAATTGTAACTTAACAGTCAGGATTATCACATTCTCACAGCAAAGTCCATGATGGCCTTCTTCATAGGTGTACATGTACAAGTCATGACGATTTCTGAAATTGAAAGAAAACACACAGCAGAAAAAGGAGCAGAAAGAATTCATTGAATAGTAAATACATTTAAATACTAGTATTCAGACCAACCCTAGTATTTAAGGGAGGGAAGGGAGGGGATTTCGTCTGCACTGAACAAGATGGGAAGTTGAAAAGACCAAGCACATGCGCATCAAAGCTCAAGTATTATTGACCCTAGAACCGTAACGATAGAACCGCATAATTCCGGAAAACGGTTTGCACTTTGTAGCTATTTATAATCTCAAAAAACAAAGCCATAAACGGCCTTCTCAATAACTGTATTTATCTTTTAGGGATAAATCTGATTATTTCGAAATGCCTAATACTAACAAGAACTATTCAATAAAGGTTGATAATCAAAGCCTTTGAAATTTTCTAATGAAAAACACATTATTCTAGCTGATAGAATTTAAAGAACAACAAAAATTTACTGTATTGGCGGAACTGTCATGGCTTTTATTACAAATTACATTCACAGATAACATGCAACTGGCATGTTCATTCAAACATCAGCAACATGCAACTGGCATGTTCATAACCTATGCGCCGATCTTACAACTGGTAAGCATTTTGGCAGCATAGCATTCACAAATATCAAACAAACCATATCATAGCTGGGGGACCTGGAGATAACAGTATCACCCTCAGCAAATGGTTACTTGTCAAAATTGCGCCAATTGAATTTCAAACATAATGAAATCCAACCGCCATCAAAGCGGCCGAATTTTGACAAGTCAATATCATTCACAAATTACACATATACACAAACACATTTTTTTTTTTCATCATCTTCATAAAGCCACAACAGTTCCAAATCCCAAAATTCGTAGACTCATCACTTTGATGGCCAAACAATGCCATTACATTACCAGAGCAGAAAAGCAGCCAACATTGTTCATGACATGATCACAATGGCAATGATGTAACCGTCATTAATAATGCTATTATTTACATCTAAAATGTAACAACTCAAGTCCGAGATAATGCATCTAACACCCATCTTACCTTTTTTTTTTTTTTTTTTTTTTTTTTGTTCAGATGCCTGGCAAATACATATGAGTAGCACCCCAATTTTAAAAGAGAGTGTTTTGAAAGTTTCTATTTCAATACCTAAAAATCTCAATTCTTGTACAATCAAAATACTTCAAATCTGGTGTGCTGATTAAGATGTTCACGTACCTAACCATTGATATGGCAAAATAAATGGTCATCCTGTTAATTGTAAGAAAGTTTCCTATAAACTAAAACACACAGTCAACTCCAAGTCTGATATGCTGATAGTGATAACTATAAACTAAACCTTTCCATTCTGATCTGTTTTAGAAAGACACAACTTCAATCTGATATTTTCATAACTTACTGTAGATTTAAAACTTCAGAAAGATGAAGTGCATTTCTTAGACTCTCATTTGATTTGATCAAAAATTGCAGTGGCAAATGTAGACCGATAATAATGGTAAATTATGCTCGTACATGTGTTTTTTGAATGTGTTCCCATTGATAAAACAATAAAACTTTTTAGTAAAAGAAGGCATGTTAAAGGACCTCTGATGTCATTTGAACATTTAAATCTTCTTAAACCTGTCAGAATTTTTACACAATGAAGGAGTTGACTGGATGATCTACTGGAGGTGGCCAAAATGAAGGCAAGTAAAATCGTAATCTAAAGTCATGAAAACAACTATGGCTTTGACATATGCAATTTTTGTGAAGTTCAAAAAGCTAACTTCAATCAAATGATTGAATTGCATGCACAGTCCTCCAAAAGGTTCCAAAATTAAATAAGTACTTGATAAGGATAACATTAAATCTACCCAAGGTGCCAGCTGCCTGAATCTGTTCCACTGGAATTGAGAAATTGAATCTGCTATCTCACTTATACTGCTTAAATGAACTGCTTTAAACTGAATAGTAAACTTCAAAGAAAACAATACTAATGTTCTCATGAAAATCTTAACCCATTTAATCTTAAATGTTTTCCTATTTAAGATTTCAATCAAAGCTATTACAGTATTATGTCAACATGCAATATCAACTACCTGGTTTGTAATTTGTCTGACAACAAGTAAAATCCTTAACTTTACGAACAAACTCTGAAAAGGTTATTATGTCTTTTCTTGTATCAACATTCTAATCCTGTGACCAACGAAGATAAAACCAGAAAGTTTCAAAACTGACACCACAAACCATTGAACCTAAGCCGTCTGAATGAAATTATACATCTTTTTAGGATTCCCATTCTGACTCTGGAAATAGTGTAGAACTATTAACTTCACTAAGAAATGTTAACCAGATTTGAAGATCACTATGCATTTCTCTGGAAAGCCTTACCAAGTGATGCGACTAATAGTAACACCAAACATTTAACCATATGATTTAATCTGAACATGTAAAATTCTACCTGCCGGCAAGGCCTTTGTAACTAAAGCTTAGCCTAATGAGCCAAGACTGAAAGACCGAAGCCGCCTTAATGTAATCTAAGATTTCCACTGAATTTCAAGTATTTCTTTTTGTAAATTGAATGATTACCGACTTTATACCTAAACCTAAGAACACTATGTATGTTGTTGGACTAGAATTTACCTCTGAAATATGAACATGAATATGAAATATTTTGAAAGGAAATAATAAAATTTTACCTTTGTTTGTACCATGAGCTCTAGCAAATAATAAAATCATGTAGTAATGAAAAACATTTTTAAAGTTGATGCTATACTCTTTCACCCTTTGTAAAAAACTGGATTTTTTTTTTGAAATAATTAATGCAAACATATTTAATATGGCACAATCCATCAGTAACATTTGTGAACATCATATTTAACAAACATTTAAAACCAAGAAGACAAAAATTTCAGGTATGACTGGTAACAGCCTGAACTCATTTGAAATATCCATTTTCCATAGTTATGCATAATTTGTACCATATAAAATGTATATAAGTTTTTGTACTATATATGCTAACAGCTTGACTGGAAGATAAATAATTAATTGAGGAAATTTTGGGATTAACGAACTCATAAAGTTATACTCTTTCCATGTGGAGCAGATATATTGGTGATTACCTCCAACTTTGAAATGGTGGGGCATCAAATGGACCCATTATTATGCGACCTAGTTCATGCAATTTCTTTGTTCAGTTTAGCAAATAATTCATCTTTATGTTCCAATGCTGAAACCATATTTTTGCAAGATATTAAAACCCACCCTGATGGACCATCATAGTTCAATGAGAAACTGAATATAAATCATGTAAAATTTGTAACATTGATTGGAATGAAACCTACATCAAAATATGGGGAGGCCATGGGTCATTATTGCCTAAGAGGCCTTTATAAACTGGGTGTCAGATTGGGATTGATATCTTATTGATGAAAGACAATGCGAGTCGACCCTTCAGGAGAGCACAAATTCGCCTGGGGGCTAGTGAATTGTAATGGTGGGCAAGTGAAATTTTATCCATTTGCCCGAGGGCAAGTGACTCAAAATTCAAATCAATATGTAAGACAGATATAAAGCTGGTCATAGTGACTTGCATATTGTACTCAATATTTGTCTCTCTTCTTAAAAAATATTCATAAATATAAATACAGTATTATAGTTTATAGTAGGGCAAGCAAAAATTGGGTAGGGCAAGTGTTTAGGTTTTCCAAACAAAACTACATTATACTGTTTATTGAACGCCTAAATCTAAAGTGAATGTCAAATTCTCCCACCAAGTGTTGTTGACTGAAGCCCCTAGCCTTATTAGACTGATATACATATAATGCCTTGAACACATTAATTTCTTCAATCTTTAAACACAAGCAGTTGCTTAATTTAACCAGCTAGATATAACTGCATTATAACTTCATCTGCTGGATCCAACTGCAATATTAACTTAGCAAGAAATATATAATCATTAATGTTCCAAAATTTTTCCTTGTTGTAAGAGTATGCAGGGATTTATCAGTACCTTCTCATACGCTGAAATTAGGCCCCATGCCAAATTGAAAATATTTTTTTTTATTTAATTTGGAAGTTTTATTCCTGACCCAATTGGTAAACAATGGTTTTACATTTAATTATCTTGAAGAAAAAAAAGCAATATTGTCTGTAATTTTATATATAGATATCCAACTCATTTAACAAAGTTACAGTTACAACATATGTTTAAAAACATTGCAATAGTGTCGTCATCTTTTCATCCGAATTTCCTTGTTTTTTCTATGAATGGTGATATTGTGTAATTATACCATATAAATAAATTATTTATCCGA